TGTCATTAAAATACTTAAAATGATTAAAATAGCTATGCGGCAAGTGTTCTCTTGCTTTACCATGCTTGTTTCCCTTATAACACTCAGTTATTGAGCCTAATGTATTCTTTGATAATACGAATTATGACACTGACTATGCTCTTATTATACATAGATTGATTTACTTTACGACTACCTGTAGTACTAACTACCCTTCTGTAGTATTGTTAAACAAATGCTGAAATTTTGTTGGTTCTGTTAATCTCTTTTTATAATATATGTAGACAGGTTACTTTGCAATGTCAGATGTCTACTATATACAAGACTGTCATGATAATTTAGTACACTAAGTCCTGCCAACCCACCTTACCTTCAGTTCATACTACCTACATTGATCCCTAACTATATTGTTCTGCTGAATCTTGCTCCACAATTCACAAAACCTATTCTTTTTATCCTTTAAGGTTTTTACTTCTTGTAAAGTAATCTGTTCATTAGGACGCATGCACACATATAATGTTCATAAAGATCTTTACTATATATAATATATATGTATAATATATATTTCACATAAATTAAGCATTTACATGATTCACATACCGTTTGTACAGGCATGATCATATTAGACAAGTGCAGTCTGAAATTGAACACTTTTATGAAATTAAAAATTGGAAAATGAATAGAAAACTTTACAAGAATAGAATATAATGTTTTGGTTTAAGTCTAAATTATAATATTTAATACACTCATAGTGAGTCAGATTCATGCGGGAATTATGAAATTTTGCGTTAATGGAATGTAAGAAGAGAGGTGATGTACATGTGCTGGAGTAAGCCACACTGGATCCAGACCGTTATTTTTATCATTTTATCAATCAATAAGAGTTCGGAAGTTTATAAAAATCCACATCAGATGGTAAGTACAGCATTATATTGGTATTAGCAGATAGAAGGGACAAATTGGTCGCAAAGTTAACTTTGCGATGTTGAACAGAATTCAGAATGGAATTTGTTCCATTGTTCATCGTAAGTGCTAACAATATTCTGGATACCGCTCAAGTAATACAAATGTAGCAAGCAGGATTACTGTTCATTAGCAGTGCTTCAGTGCAATACCTTCGAGAAGTGAAGAAAACAGAAGCAGCCAGCAGATAATGATAATTTAAGTAAACAATATGCGATAACCGCAGTGTTTATTCTCCTTTTTTATTACTAGGAATTTCTAGTCATTGAGTTTTATAGCGTTACATACTAACGGTTAGTTTAAGTTTATAGTAGTAAACAACAACTGAAGTATAGAATAACAATTAAATATAAAGTAAAAATTAGGGCGAAACGAATTATGGTTTTCACTCTCATATAGGGTAATGTTGGGAATAGTAACTGAAGAAGTGAAATCCAAATGCCAAAGTACATAAGTTATTAAAATGAAAGGAGGAAGTATAGTAATACTGATTTATGCTGTTGTTCTGATTTATACAGTTAGATGTCCTCCTGAAGTAGAGAAATCGTACCATGAGCCATTTTTTCAAAGAGTTTGTACGCAAGCTGTGACATACAGGCAGCATTTATTTTTTATTTTATTTATTAATAATTTTTTTTGAAGTAATTCGTTCTCAGGAACCTTAGCAGTATAGTGCATTCCCACAGATAAGGGTGGTTCTCTTAGGTCCCCACCATCATATCCGCTGAATAGCAGTCACCACCCTCCCACCTTTGAATCTGCTAAACCCTGGCAAAATACTTATGTTTTGTTTTCAGAAAAAAATCTTTTATTATTGCTACGTGTCATATGGACAGTTTTTGCATTCACAAGCTAACTCAATTATACTCATGGTATGAACGACTACTTTCAGTCAGTCATTTTGTATGCATCGTCACTAACAGCATTTTAAAAATGTTTACGTACAATGAAGAAGTAAGGGAATCAGATATTTGCAGGCTACTTTCAAGATTATAGTTAAAAGCATAGCAACGAAGAGGAAATATGAAATGTTACGAAGAAGAAAAATACATAAAGCTACATAGTTATGTATATATCTACATAGAAAGAAAGTAGTCAGTCATAAAAGATACTTCAGAAGAATACGAATACAGAGTGTTATGATAGCATAACAGTAAAATAAAATCCGTTGATACTTAGGATTCAAAGTGTAGTTAAGAGACAGTAGTTAGTTATAATAGATAGTTCAGAAGAATACGACTACAGAGTGTTATGATAGCATAACCGTAAAATAAAATCCGTTGATACTTAGGATTCAAAGTGTAGTTAAGAGACAGTGGTTAGTTATAATAGATAGTTCAGAAGAATACGACTACAGAGTGTTATGATAGCATAACAGTAAAATAAAATCCGTTGATACTTAGGATTCAGAGTGTAGTTAAGAGACAGTAGTTAGTTATAATAGATAGTCCAGAAGAATTCGACTACAGAGTGTTATGATAGCATAACAGTAAAATAAAATCCGTTGATACTTAGGATTCAAAGTGTAGTTAAGAGACAGTGGTTAGTTATAATAGATAGTTCAGAAGAATACGACTACAGAGTGTTATGATAGCATAACAGTAAAATAAAATCCGTTGATACTTAGGATTCAAAGTGTAGTTAAGAGACAGTAGTTAGTTATAATAGATAGTCCAGAAGAATACGACTACAGAGTGTTATGATAGCATAACAGTAAAATAAAATCCGTTGATACTTAGGATTCAGAGTGTAGTTAAGAGACAGTAGTTAGTTATAATAGATAGTTCAGAAGAATACGACTACAGAGTGTTATGATAGCATAAAAGTAAAATAAAATCCGTTGATACTTAGGATTCAAAGTGTAGTTAAGAGACAGTAGTTAGTTATAATAGATAGTCCAGAAGAGTACGACTACAGAGTGTTATGATAGCATAACAGTAAAATAAAATCCGTTGATACTTAGGATTCAAAGTGTAGTTAAGAGACAGTAGTTAGTTATAATAGATAGTTCAGAAGAATACGACTACAGAGTGTTATGATAGCATAACCGTAAAATAAAATCCGTTGATACTTAGGATTCAGAGTGTAGTTAAGAGACAGTAGTTAGTTATAATAGATAGTCCAGAAGAGTTCGACTACAGAGTGTTATGATAGCATAACAGTAAAATAAAATCCGTTGATACTTAGGATTCAAAGTGTAGTTAAGAGACAGTGGTTAGTTATAATAGATAGTTCAGAAGAATACGACTACAGAGTGTTATGATAGCATAACCGTAAAATAAAATCCGTTGATACTTAGGATTCAAAGTGTAGTTAAGAGACAGTAGTTAGTTATAATAGATAGTCCAGAAGAATACGACTACAGAGTGTTATGATAGCATAACAGTAAAATAAAATCCGTTGATACTTAGGATTCAGAGTGTAGTTAAGAGACAGTAGTTAGTTATAATAGATAGTTCAGAAGAATACGACTACAGAGTGTTATGATAGCATAACAGTAAAATAAAATCCGTTGATACTTAGGATTCAAAGTGTAGTTAAGAGATAGTAGTAAGTTATAATAGATGGTTCAGAAGAATACGACTACAGAGTGTTATGATAGCATAACAGTAAAATAAAATCCGTTGATACTTAGGATTCAGAGTGTAGTTAAGAGACAGTAGTTAGTTATAATAGATAGTCCAGAAGAGTTCGACTACAGAGTGTTATGATAGCATAACAGTAAAATAAAATCCGTTGATACTTAGGATTCAAAGTGTAGTTAAGAGACAGTGGTTAGTTATAATAGATAGTTCAGAAGAATACGACTACAGAGTGTTATGATAGCATAACCGTAAAATAAAATCCGTTGATACTTAGGATTCAAAGTGTAGTTAAGAGACAGTAGTTAGTTATAATAGATAGTCCAGAAGAGTTCGACTACAGAGTGTTATGATAGCATAACAGTAAAATAAAATCCGTTGATACTTAGGATTCAGAGTGTAGTTAAGAGACAGTAGTTAGTTATAATAGATAGTTCAGAAGAATACGACTACAGAGTGTTATGATAGCATAACAGTAAAATAAAATCCGTTGATACTTAGGATTCAAAGTGTAGTTAAGAGACAGTAGTTAGTTATAATAGATAGTCCAGAAGAGTTCGACTACAGAGTGTTATGATAGCATAACAGTAAAATAAAATCCGTTGATACTTAGGATTCAAAGTGTAGTTAAGAGACAGTAGTTAGTTATAATAGATAGTTCAGAAGAATACGACTACAGAGTGTTATGATAGCATAACCGTAAAATAAAATCCGTTGATACTTAGGATTCAAAGTGTAGTTAAGAGACAGTAGTTAGTTATAATAGATAGTTCAGAAGAATACGACTACAGAGTGTTATGATAGCATAACAGTAAAATAAAATCCGTTGATACTTAGGATTCAGAGTGTAGTTAAGAGACAGTAGTTAGTTATAATAGATAGTTCAGAAGAATACGACTACAGAGTGTTATGATAGCATAACAGTAAAATAAAATCCGTTGATACTTAGGATTCAAAGTGTAGTTAAGAGACAGTAGTTAGTTATAATAGATAGTCCAGAAGAGTTCGACTACAGAGTGTTATGATAGCATAACAGTAAAATAAAATCCGTTGATACTTAGGATTCAAAGTGTAGTTAAGAGACAGTAGTTAGTTATAATAGATAGTTCAGAAGAATACGACTACAGAGTGTTATGATAGCATAACAGTAAAATAAAATCCGTTGATACTTAGGATTCACAGTGTAGTTAAGAGACAGTAGTTAGTTATAATAGATAGTTCAGAAGAATACGACTACAGAGTGTTATGATAGCATAACAGTAAAATAAAATCCGTTGATACTTAGGATTCACAGTGTAGTTAAGAGACAGTAGTTAGTTATAATAGATAGTTCAGAAGAATACGACTACAGAGTGTTATGATAGCATAACAGTAAAATAAAATCCGTTGATACTTAGGATTCACAGTGTAGTTAAGAGACAGTAGTTAGTTATAATAGATAGTTCAGAAGAATACGACTACAGAGTGTTATGATAGCATAACAGTAAAATAAAATCCGTTAATACTTGAGACTCACAGTGTAGTTAAGCTGAATTTTTAGACGATCCTGTGTAGAGCTTCGATTTCTGTAAACGCATATCGTAATGTAATTTTATATAATATAATTTTTGAATAAAGTGGCAGTCAGCTGCTGAGATTAAATGCATTTGAATGACTGAATATGTGTCAGGGTAGTTCATTTAGGTTCAGTGCAACTTTCGTGGCGAGTATGACAGGCTGTGTATTTCACTCCAGGTTTGCTTGAAAAGATTGCGGATGTTTTGTGATGATGCTTGCAAAACAAATAATTGAATCAAAGTGTATTTAAGCTGATTTTTTTTTAAACGATCCAGTTTAGGGCTGGGATTTCCGTAGACATAGATGTAAATATAATAATATATAATATAATACGTAATACTAGATTAATTTGGCAGGCAGCAGCTGGGATTAAATGCATTTGAATGACTGAATATGTGTCAGGGTAGTTCATTTAGGTTCAGTGCAACTTTCGTGGCGAGTATGACAGGCTGTGTATTTCACTCCAGGTTTGCTTGAAAGGATTGCGGATATTTCCTGATGTCTGCTTAAAAAATAATTTGATCAACTAAAAAAAAGGAACTGAGAACAGAAATTAGCTCAACGTAGAATATTTTAAATATGTCTGATAATACTGACCGTATCTGTTAATGCTTTGAGTGAACAAAGCTGTTTAGGTACATAAGTCGGAGTGGGAAGAAACAATATCACGAATTTTCAGCATGTGGCAAACCGTGTCAAGACTATTTTCGGAGAAATATTTATGTAGTAGATGGGTGAATCGTTGTACTGTGGTGCTGTTTTTGATTTCATTTGGTAAGAAGTTCCATATTTGCCTATATTTGACTGTAAAGAAGTTGGAACGAGAATTCGTTCGACAAAGAATATGACTTAGAGAAGACCCGTTGCTGCGTAGTTCATACGTCGAAGAAGAAAAGTTAAGGTTATTATTGGGGAAGTATACTATTCCTTTGAGAATTTTGAATAGGAGAATGAGGTTAAGTCGGTGACGCCTGAACCAAAGGGGTTCGATCTTAAGAGTCGCGCAACGACTGTTGTAGGGGACTTTCAGATTTGTTCCTAAGATTCTACTTGTAAATCTCCTTTGAACACTTTCAATCCTTAGTTTGTCCTTAACAGAGGTGCTGTCTAGGATAAATGGACAGTACTCAAGGAGGGGCCGTATGTGTGTTCTATAAAGTAACATTTTAGATTCTTTGGTCTGAAAGTTGTGAAATATAAATCCAAGTAATCTCCTGGCTTTAGAGACTTGGTTGGTGACATAGAGAGAGAATTTAAAATCGGCAGAGTAACAGAGCCCGAGGTCAAGTACAGAAGGGAAGATAGTGATAGGCTTGTCGTATATAGTTATGCGTGGTGCGATACGTAAACGAGTTGAGCATAACAGACCACACTTCTGCACGTTGATCTGCATCATCCACGACTTACACCAAGTTTCAATATTATCAATATCCGATTGGATTTTATAAGATAGGTTTGTCAGTTCTTGGGTGGTACTGTAGTAGACTACTTTCAAGTCATCGGCATATAAGAAGGGTCTGCCATGCTTTATAACATTACAGACGTCATTTAGGTATATAAGAAAGAAGAGAGGTCCTAGTACACTACCTTGAATTACGCCACTTGATATAGGAGTGGTACTGGAAAAAGTGTCATTAATCTTAACAGACTGGGACCGACCACGCATAAACGAATTACACCAGTCTAATAGATTGCCAGATATACCATAAGCCTTAAGTTTTTTCAGGAGTAAATCATGACATACTTTGTCGAATGCCTTCTTAAGATCGATATACACAATGAGCACAAGGAATTTTTGATCAATAAGTCCAGTTATAAAATCGAATAGTTCCAGGTGGCAAGTCATACATGATCTGGACTTTATAAAACCATGTTGAGAAGGTGTTATGAGGTTTTCAGTCAATAAGAAGTCAGTGATTTTGGTACTGATTATCTTCTCAAGTATCCTAGACAAGACAGACGTTATATTGATTGGCCTGTAATTTTTTACATCACATTTTGAGCCGGATTTAAATCTAGGGACAATATATGTCTGCTTCCATTTAGAAGGATAAACTCCGTTCATAAGGGACGTTGAGAATATTTTAAGCAAAAGGAGAGGTAGATCGGAGCCACCATGTTTTAGGAAGGAAGACGGAATTGAGTCAGGTCCAGGAGTATTGGAAAATTTCAATGAACGCACTGCACTTTCTATAACATCAACGGTCAAGCATATATTTGACAGTGTTTTGCCTGTTAACGAGTCAAATTCTATGCATCCAGAAATATCATGCGTGTATGAGTCAGAAAAGTGCTTGTTAAAGAGTTCGGCTATGCCTGCATCATCCTTAACAACGACATTATTATGAAGAATGTAAGGAATGTTGCCTTGTTTATGTTTCAGTCTTTTTGGAAGAGTTTGCAAAGGGAGCTAATTTTGGAGTTACTTTTAAGGGCGATAAGTTCTTCTTTGTAAATTTTAACGGCATTATCTGATCTGATTTTATCATATACCTTAAGGATGCTAATGAGCGAGGAGAAGTCCATAGATTTATTATAGGTTCTACGGAGTCTTCTTAGCTTATTCCTGGTAGCATTCGGTATATATAGTTGATTTACACAGTTGCGTTTGGATGTATACCAAGGGATAGATTCGTTGAAGCAAACAGATATGTTGGAGTAGAAACTGTCAAGGGCAGTATCAATGTCTGCCGAGGAGAAAAAGGTATCCCAGTCTTGGCAACGAATAAAAGACTGCGTTGTTTCCCAATTAGCCTTTGAAAAGTTTCTGACTTTTACTGTCCGACGACGCCCTTTGCCTGACCTACCTGCTGTTAGGTTAAAGGTGGAAGTGACCGTGTTGTGGTCGCTGCCAGGGAATAAAGGCCCAACTCGAGTGCTGACGGGGAGAATGTTATGTGTGAAGATTAGATCTAATATGTTGGATTTACGTGTGGGGTGAATAACATTTTGTGTCCATCCATAGAGTTCAACCGAATTTATAAAACGATCAGTGTATTTAGGAACCTTAAGGCTATTCCACTGGATACCAGGCATGTTAAAGTCGCCAGCTATAATTTTATAGTCAAAATTTAGAGAGGAGACGTGTTCGAAAATTTCACATAGACGGTTCGTTGTGTTAGAATCAGAATTGGGTGGGCGATATATACATCCCAATAAGAGTCTTGTATTTAAGTTGGTGTTGAGTGTAACCCATACTGCGTCTGTCAGTGAGCAACCCAAATCATCAACTTCTACAGCGTGGAATTTATTGCTAACAAAGATAAGACAACCACCACCACGTCCTTCTTCTCTGCCATGTCTAAAGTGTGTGTATCCTGGTGATTCTAGTAGTCTGTCATTGAAGTCAGATGGTAACCATGTCTCGGTAACTAACAGTACTGAGGGCTTACAAAGTGAAAGTAAGGAGTGAAGGTATGGAATCTTATTGCAGATAGAACGAGCGTTTATAAGGAAAAGAGTAAATGATCTTTGATTAGTGGTAAGGGACGAGGCAAAATGAAGGAGATGATGATGTGATTCGGCTGAGGTTAAATGAAAGTTAGATGATGGTCCGACCGGTATATCGAGTGTTCGGTGCTTAAAGCCTTCATCGTTTTCGTTAAGATCCTGTGAAAAGGAAGAGGATTTCCATAGTTGATCGCTTATCTCACGATCGCATGGAGATAGGCATACTGGGGTACGCTGGGTGTCTGAAGGGGGTACATTTGAGAGTAAGGAAACAGACTGTTTGGCATTAGGTTGATTGGTGGCATTACTGTTGGGTGTGGAAAGGAGAAAAAATTGTGAGGGGATTGATTAGTTGGACAGTTGTAAGGACGGTTTTGTTGTCGGGATATTGTGTTTGTGGGGTAGTAGCATTGTCTGGGTGGATCTCCAAGCAGACTATGCTGAAAGTTTGGGCGACTGAATCCATGCGGCTGTGCACCAGGGATATGGGCATAGTTGAATTTAGTATTACGCAACCTCATAGTAGAGGTAGGGTAGCTATAAGTGGTTGTATTAGAATGGTGAGGAAAAGTGAATGAGGGAGGTTGACTAGTGTCTGTTAGATTTGATACCGTAGATGTCATTTTAGGAAATCTAAGCGCATGAGTAGTAGAGGATGCTGAAACAGGCTTGATAGAGTGTGTGCCACGCATAGGAATTCTATTTTTTACATTTTTTCTCATAATTTGAGAGCTAGACGTGAATGTGATACAAGGGTTTTCGGTATATTTAGCATGGCGGGTAGGATTTTCATTGGTACCTTTTGCAGACAGTGAGTGCTTTTCAGGTTGTTTAACAGCTGGAGAAGTACTGGATTTAGTATTGGTAACCCTACCAGGCTTCATTTCAGTGTAACTAGGTGGAGGGTTTCTTTTAGGGTTTGGGTGGTATTTTTTATTAACATCAATGGGGCTGGTAGTATCCTTTTGGTGACTTATTTCACCTGCTGAGACACTTAGCTTGGCACGACGCTGGATTGGTGTCCTGTCGTGAATAATACGTATATTCTTAAAGTTGCTTACTCTCTTAAAGAGATGTTGGTTGTTTACAAAGCGACTAGCATCCACAATGTTATTAAATTCGAACATTATTGGACAGGATGTATTAGCTGAAGATTTACGCAATCGTTTGCACCTACAATGGGAGTCTGGTATTTCACATGTCTTTAAAAGTGCATTTTTCAATGTTTTAATGTTAGTACTGTCGGGCACATTGAAGACGATTGCATTATACATGCACTGAACACGCTTAATCACTTCCGTGGAAATGTGATCTATAATTCTCTCACAAGACTGTAGTGTATCATAGTCAGGAAAGTCAGCAGGCTTCATAAGATACCTAAGGGGTAAGAGATCATGGACTAATGGAAGAATGTCTCTACTTTCCAGGTTATTGGTTTGGGTAGTTGTGTTCTGCGTAGATAATGAGCAGTTGGCGTTTTCCAATTTGGCATTAGGTTGACGTCCACGGGTCGCTGATGACCGATGGAAATTTTTGCGTTGAGGGGCTTTGTTGGTAATGGAAGCGGTGGTGCTACAATCTAACTTCTGAACTGGCATATTTGTAGCCTGCATAAAAGCATCCGGTTGAATAGAATTAGGTGATAGCAAATCTGCCTGTGTGTTGCAAGGATTATCGAGGTCGATGTCTAAGTTTACTAAGCATTTGGGGGAGTCAACATTTCTTTTGACACAACCTAAAGAATTGATATTAGCAGGTATAGAGGATAGTGAGGCCATATGTATGTTTGGACCTTCTGACTGACAGTTCTGAGCAGGGTATATGGGTGGTGTGGTTTCAACCACATCAGAAGAGCCTGTGTCAGATTTTCTACTAAGAGCCAGTGTGGCTAGGTAAGGATCCATACTACTTGTCTCACAACCTGTACTATTGTAAATATCCCTGATAAAATCATTTATTACACAAGAAGGTGAAGAAGTAATGATTTCCGATCTAGTATCGTTTAGCATCTGCGTCAGATCAGGGGAAAGTGTGTTACCATGTTGTTTAGGCTTGCTAGATCTATGTCTTTTGCTGATTTTTTCAGCTGATAGTGAAGCACGTCGCTTCGATAGTTTACCAGGCATTTTGTGTATAGCTAATACAGAACTGCAGAGGTATATGAGTCTTAGGTTGTTTGACGTTATGTCAAAACAAAAAACAAGCGTAATATGTGCACCGAAATTCAGATGCTCGAAGTGGTAATACCTTAATCAATAGCCTGAAACAGGAAAATCGGCAAGGATAATATCCAGTGACTAGGAAGGTAGGTTAAGATATGAAAAAATATTGCTATTTCTATTAGTACTCAGTGGCACTAAGGATATATACTGAGAAGTGGGAATACAAGAAAGAATAGTAAAAGCGAAAACCACGCGCAAAAAAACGACCAACTTCGAACCCGGCGCGGAGACCTATTGGAAGCACTCATTAAGAAAGCTAGGGAGATGGAATATGAGGTACGAACATGTCTGGTACCAAGCAACATATTTGCGGTAGCCATAATAATCATAGTCTCAGAGCTTAACATCAAAAAAGGAAGGAGGGTGGCGCTAGCTGATCAGTAGATATGGTGGTGGTCACTAAGGTGAATCACCCCATTCTGCAGGAACAGCAATATACAATTTGAAGGCTCGAGATATTTCTGATTTTTATGAGGGCTTAGATCTTTATCTTAAAAAAGACAATAATGAACGCCTAGAGAGATCATGATTCTGCCTTGAAATATATACCATTCGCTCAGCCTATTGTTGAGATGTGACCATGTGGGCTCTACACAGATTTAAGGGGCATCTTATAAACTAACTTGCTGTCCATTGTCGGATCTTTGAAAACCAATTCACAATGTCTTATCTCATTTATTTTCTAATAACGTCTTTACTTGATCCTTATTATAGTCCATTAAAGCTAACATTTTATAGCTCTTTGTGAATTTGATTCGACTTATTCTATTCCTATTCTCTGTAGGGTACGGTTGTGCACTGAATGCACAAAAAGGCATAAAATAAAAAAAGCCGGCATGAGGAAAAAATGTATTAAAACCAAAGGTGGACATCATGATAGTGCAAACTGTACAGGAAGCATTATACATTGCAAATGAACGTTGTCAGCCTAGGGATTTCCCTTTATATATGCATTTATTAATTACACTTGCACTTACTTATTTCATTACACTATAATGATTCCCCATAGCACTTTTACTTTTCTAAAACAGCTTTCAATCCCTTGTAAACGTTGTACTTACCTCAATTTTGGTTGGTTATCGTATGCCGACAACCACGGGATGAAAACGAAACGAAGTCGATTTTCCCGCTCAACCTGGAGGACAATTGTACAATTCAATAACTATACAGCCTAGTTCAGACAATGTGTATTTATATATATATCAAATATTTAACTATTGAAACATTATTAACTTGTAGACAACCTACGATTTGATATTATATCATACTTGATCTTGCCTGTAAAAATGGCATGCATTTTCATGTAAATTTATATGTTTATATGAGAATATACATTATTATTAACTGTATCTGCCTACACAAAGTCTGCTGTGATTGTTTGTTGTCTTGTTCAG